GGTGGTAGGGAAATTGTTGGAAAAGATTCTCAGGGGCAAGATCCATATGCATTTAGAAGCAAATGGACTTATTAGCGATAGACAGCATGGTTTTGTACCAGGGAGGTCGTGCCTCCTTAACTTGATTGAGTTTTTTTGAAGAGGTGACGAAGATGATGAGAGAAGAGCAGTTGATGTTGTCTACATGGACTTCAGTAATGCCTTTAACGTGGTCCCACATGACAGACTGGTACAAAAGGTGAAGTCACATGGTATTGGGGTGAGTTGGCAAGATGGGTACAGGACTGGCTTAGTCATAGGAGTTAGAGAGTAGTGGTGGAAGGATGCTTTTCAGAATGGAAGGCTGTGACTAGTAGTGTTCCATAGGGATCAGTGTTGGGACCTCTGCTGTCCACGGTCTACATAAATGATTTGGAGGAAAACATGGCTGGTCGAATTAGTAAGTTTGTGGACGATACAAAGATTGGTGGAGTTGCAGATAGTCAGGGGATACAGCAGGATATGGATCAGTCGGAGGCATGGGTACAAAAATAGCAGATGGAGTTTAATCCAGACAAATGTGAAGTGATGCATTTTGGAAAGTCCAGTACGGGTGGGAATTATACAGTGAACGGCAAAACCCTTAGGAGTATTGATATGCAGAGGGATCTGGGTGTACAGGACCACAGATCACTGAAGGTGGCAGCGCAGGTAGATAAGGTAGTAAAAAAGGGCTATGGCACGGTTGCCTTCATTGGAAGGGGCAATGAGTATAAGGACAGACAAGTTATGCTGCAGCTTTATAGAAATTTTAGTTAGGCCACAGTTGGAATATTGCATGCAGTTCTGTCACGCCCACACTACCGAAAGGATGTGGAGGCTTTGGAGAGGGTACAGAAAAGGTTTACCAGGAGTTGCCTGCTATGGGGGATTTTAGCTATGAAGAAAGGTCGGATAGAATGGAACGCAGGAGGTTGAGAGGGCGACCTGACAGAAGTTTAAAAGATTGTGAATGGTGTGGATACAATGGGAAGTATGAGGCTTTTTCCCAGGGCAGAGGGGTCAATTACTAGGGGACACAGGTTCAAGGTGCAGCTAGGGGTGGATGTTTAAAAAAGATGTACAAAGCAAGTTTTTCACATAAAGGGTGGTGAGTGCCTGGAACGTGCTGTCAGAGGAGGCGGTGGAAGCAGACACAAGAGCGGCATTCAAGAAACACCTGGATGAATACATGAATAGGAAGGGAACAGAGGGATACGGATTCTGTAAGTGAAGACAGTTTTAATGTTGAAAGGCAAAATGTGGTGGCACAGGCTTGGAGGGCCTGTTCCAGTGCTGTATTGTTCTATTTCAGGGAAAAATACAGGGATCAGTGTTAGTGCCTTAATTTTTCACATTAGAATCGTAGAATCCCTACAGAGTGGAAGCAGGCCATTTGGCCCATCAAGTCCACGCTGACCCTCCAAAAGCATCCCACGGTGGATCCCACGGCGTCACCCCACCCAGGTTCGATTCCAGCCTCAGGTTCTGTCTGTGTGGAGTTTGCAAATTCTCCCTGTGTCTGCGTGGGTTTCCTCCGGGTGTTCCAGTTTCCTCCCACAGTCCAAAGATGTGCAGGGTAGATGGATTGGCCATGCTAAATTGCCCATAGTGCCCAGGGATGTTTAGGTTAGGTGGGTTAGACATAGGGAAATCAGGGGTAGGGGAATGGGTCTGGGTGGGATGCTGTTCGGAGGGGTGGTGTGAACTAGTTGGGCTGAATGGCCTGTTTCCACACTGTAAGGATTCTATGATTCTATGATTAATCCACCTAGCCTGCACATTTCTGGACACTATGAGACAATTTATCATGGCCAATCCACCTAACCTGCACATCTTTGGACTGTGCGAGGAAACTGGAGCCCAGTGGAAACTCATGCAGACACTGAGGGAATTTGCAAACTCCACACAGTCACCCAAGGCATGAATCGAAACTGGGTCCGTGACACTGTGAGACAGCAGTACTAACAACTGAGCCATTTAATGACTTGGATAATGGCATAGAAAATCATATATCCAAATTTTCCTGATGATACAAAGTTAGGCAGTATTATAAACAGTGTAGATGATAGCATAAAGTTACCAAGATATTTAAAATGTCACAAACAGTACATAAAATAATCCAGAAGGCTAATAGAATGCTAGCCTTTCTGTCTATAAGGCCGGAGTATGAGGATGCAGAAGTCATGTTGTAGTTATACAAAACCCTGGTTAGACCCCACCTGGAGGGCTGAGAGCAGATCTGGGCACCACACCTGAGGAAGGATATATTGGCTTTGGAGGGAGTACAATGTAGGTTTACAAAAATGACAACTGGACTTCATGGGGTTAAGTTGTGAGGATAGATTATACACATTAGGCCGGTTTTCTCTAGAACTTGGAAGGTTAAGTAGTGATCTGATTGACATTTTCAAGATATTAACAGGAAAAGACTGGGTTGACAATGATAAACTATTTCCACTGGTTGGGGATTCCAGAGCAAAGGAGAATAGTCTATGAATTAGGACCAAACCAGTCAGGAGAGATGTTAGGAAGCACTTCTATACACGATGTGTGACGGAGGTGCGGAACTCCCTTGCACAAATGGCAGTGGATGCTCGATCAGTTGTTAATTTTAAATCTGAGATACATTTTTCTTGTTAAGCAAAGGTATTAAGGAATATGGGCCAAAGGCAGGTATATGGGGTTAGGCGACAGATCAGCCATGATCTTATTGAATGGTGGAACAGGCTTGAGGGGCTGAATGGCCTACTCCTGTTCCCACGTCGGGGAGAGGGGTGGTGGGAAACGGTTTGCAACTGGAAATTTTCAACAGAAAGGCGACAGAACAAAATGAAAATAAAATCAGATTTTAAGCATCATAGTGCAAGGAAACAAGAGGCGATGTCTACCAGACTCTGATCTTCTTCACAAGTGAAACTTGTCTAGAGTACGGTTTAAAAAAAAAGAAAATGATTGAAATACTCCGAAAGCATTTATGTGCAGGGAACGCAAGATGTACGTTTATCAGTCTTAATCATGATTTAAAGTTTCAAGACAGTTTACTTTCTTAGGGCTAGAATATATGAGTAGAGGTGTGCAAAAGCCATCAATCGGACGATGGGCTGAATGGCTTCCTTGGCAAAGTTGCAACAACAGACCCCGAAGCCCCGCCCACCGATTGTCCCCGGAACGAGACGGCGGTAGCGCATGCGCCCTGACCTCACCTGTGGTCCTTCAAAATGGCGGCCGGTTTCCATGTTAACGCGAGCCGGCAGCCTGCTGAGTGCTGACAAAGCGAGAGTTGAGCTAGCACTTAGCGTCGAAGAAGACCGTGTCTCGTCGTCGCTTGCTGCGTCTTCCTTTCTCTCTTCCCGCCTCTCCAATTTGCCCGGAATCCCCCCCGCCGGTCCTCCATATTGAGGCAATCGAACTTAATAGGCGGGCGGCGAAGCGGAATGATTGACGGATGTTCTTGCCCAATGGCGAATGGTATTCTTGTTATCCCACCAATCACAGATGCCCGTGTGTACGGCCCATTTCCGGAGTCCAATTGCATGTGGTGGACGTGTGATGACGTTAGGTTCCATAGATCAATGATGGGCGGAACCGGGCCTCCAGCCAATCACAGATGTCGGGCTTCCACTCCCGACCTTCGCGATCGTCGAAGCCGACTGTGACGGTCAAGCATCGACGACACATTATTGACGGATAGATTCGCCAATGGAGAGCGGATCCGCTTGTTTCCCTCTTAACCAATCACAGAGCGCGGCGTGCGGTGGCCACGCCGACTCCTGACGCGGACGGACAATGATTGACGGGGCTGTCCGCCAATGGACGACGGCGGAGGGCCAAGCGTCCCTCCAACCAATCACAGGACGTGGGGACTGTGCATCCTCGAGGTGGGAGGCCAGAGCCGAGGTGGATCAAACAAAGAAGTGTGTATGTTGGAGATGTGAAACAAAAACAAACTCCAAACGTTAACTCTGCTTTCTTCTCAAGGTGGATGGTGTGCTGTTTTTTTGTGCAGGAGTTTCACACCGAGGAGGTTAGATTTGATTGCAGCTGGAACAATTATTAACAGAATGCATTTTTTCTTCCCAGGAGAAAGATGAATTTTGTTTCAGAATTTGTGGAGGAAGTTAATTGTGATTTGGACCAAACCTTCTGTTGCACTGTGAGTGAGCAACAGAAGGACGGATGCAGGAGCAGCGAGTTTAAGGAAAAGATTTTAAGGGTTCGACAAGGGGCTTGTGAAGAGGGGGAAGAACTTGTTGACAGTAGGCAGGTCAAAGTGGGATGGGATGCTAAAGAGGTTGCAATGCAGGACATTAATGAAGTGGAGGATTGTTGGAGCTGGCCAGGTAATGGCACTGTCTTAAAGTAAGGTGAAGGGCCCTCATAGAATCCCTACAGTGTGGAAACAGGCCATTTGGCCCAACAAGGCCACGTCACCCCTCTGAAGATCATCCTACCCATCCGTCTGCCCTTTCCCTGTCACCGTGCATTTCCCATGTCTAATCCACCTCATGTACACATCCCTGAACACTATGGGCAATTTAGCATGGCCAATCCACCTAACCCGCACACCTTTGGACTGTGGGACAAAATCCACGCAGACACAGGGAGAATGTGCAAACTCCACACAGACAGTTGCCCGAAGTTGAAGTCATACCTGGGTCCCTGGCGCTGTGAGGCAGCAATGCCAACCACTGTACTGACCTGCTCATAAAGAGGGGAAAAGTTGTTCAAGTTGTATGGAAACTGGAGGGGTAAATTACTGCAGATGCTGGAATCTGTACTGAAAACGAATTGTGCTGGGGTTTGCAGTGGGTCAGGCAGCATCCATGGAGAGAATGCAAGCTAACATTTTGAGTCGAGATGACTCTTCTGATGATCCATTGTGATCTCCAGCATTTTTTTGTTTTGTTTTCAGTATGGAACCTGGAGTTGTTTGTTGTGAATTTCAATCTTGTCATGACTTTTGTAACCTTCTTTTGCAGGGTATCAGAAACGGTAAAATTTGCAGACGAGAAATGCAAAAGAAAGTAACATGGTGATAACAGACAGACACTTGATTCATCGGCATCTGAATATCATCGCACTTTGAAGAGGGATGGGAAAATATTTTCAATATCAGTGTGACTGGAAAAACCACTTCGAGACACACCTGAATGCGATGTACTAGTGAACTGATTGTGGAAAGAACTTTAATTAGTTACCTAAACTTAAAAGGCATTTACAGAGGGGAAAACTGTGTTTGAGGGTGAGGATACAACTCATGGCTGGATCTGGAGAAATACAAGAATAGCAGAGCAATGAAGAAACCATGGAAATGTGGGGACTGTGGGAAAGGATTCAAACAGCCATCTCTGCTGGAAATCCATCGACGCAGTCACACCGGGGAGAGGCCATTCACCTGCTTCGAGTGTGGGAAGGGATTCACTGCCGCGTGCAATCTGCAGACACACCAGCGGCTTCACACTGGGGAGAGGCCGTTCATCTGCTTAGACTGTGGGAAGGCGTTCAGTGATTCATCCAGTCTGCGCAAGCACCAGAGGGTTCACACTGGAGAGAGACCGTTCACCTGCTCTGAGTGTGGGAAAGGGTTCCTTGATTCATCCAACCTCTTGACACACCAGCGGCGAAGTCACACCGTGGAGAGGCCATTCACCTGCTCCGATTGCGGGAAGGGATTTGGCGATTCGTCATCCCTGCTGACGCACCAGCGAGTTCACACCGGGGAGAGGCCATTCACCTGCCCCAAGTGTGGGAAGGGCTTCAGTGATGCTTCCACCCTGAGGAAGCACCATCGTGTTCACACCGGAGAGAGGCCATTCACCTGCACCGAGTGCGGGAAGGGGTTCACTCAGTCAACGCACCTCCTGACGCACCAGCGAGGTCACACGGGGGAGAAACCGTTTGCCTGCTCAGTGTGCGAGAAGAGATTCACCCGATCATCCACCCTGCGCACTCACCAGCGAGTTCACAAGTGACAGTGCCAGGACTGGATTTTGCTGTTAAAAACCTTCATTGAGATGGTTAGCGTTTGCTATGTTGATGTTAATGAGTCCAATGACTGAGATTTTTTTTTATTCGCATGTTGGGACGTGGGTATCGCTGGCTGGCCAGCATTTATTGCCCATCCCTGAATATATCCGTCAATGTTCAGGTTATATGAGATAAATCAGCTGTGTTTCAATGATCAGCTCACTAATCCTTGCCTTCATTGCTCAGACCTTTTGAATGTAGGAGTTGGGACGTCATGTTGAAGTTGTACAGGGCATCGGTGAGGCCTTTTCTGGAGTACTGGGTCCAGTTCTGGTTGCCCTGTTATAGGAAGGATATTATTAAGCTGGAGAGTTCAGAAGAGATTTACCAGCATGTTGCTGTGTATGGAAGGTTTGAGTTGTAAGGAGAGACTGGATAGGCTGGGACTTTTTTCACTGAGAGGTGGCTTAATAGAAGTTTATAAAATGATGAGTGGTATAGATATGGTGAATGACAGGTGTATCTTCCTTATGGTGGGGGATTTCAAGATTGGGGACACATTTTTGAGGTGAGAGGAGGAAAAATTTAAAAAAGACATGAGGAGCAATTTTTTTTGGTTCGTGTGTGGAATGAATTGCCAGAGGAAGTGCTGTATATGGGTACAGTTACAATGTTTAAAAGACATTTATCTAAATACATGAATAAAAAAATGTTTGGAGGGATATGGGCCAAATGCAAGCAGATGGGACTAGTTTAGATTGGAAACCTGGTTGGCATGGTCAAGTTGGACTGAAGGGTCTGTTTCTGTGCTGTATGTCTATGACTGGGGAGGCAACGGTCTAGTGATATTAATCGCTGGACTGTTAATCCAGAGATGTAGGTAAAGTTCTGTGGACCAGGGTTTGAATCCTGCCATGGGATGGTGGAATTTCAATTCAATATCTGGAATTAAGAGTCTAATGATGACCATGAAACCACTTTCGATTGTTGGAAAAACCCATCTGGTTCACAAATGTCTTGTAGGGAAGGAAACTGCCATCTTTACCTGGTCTGGCCAACATGTGACTCCAGACCCACAGCCAATGTGTTTGATTCTTCACTGCCCTCTGGGCAATTAGGGATGGGCAATAAATGCTGCCTAGCCAGTGACGCCCTCATCCCGTGAATAAATTTAAAAAAAAATTCTAAAAAACTGTAATCCCTTTTGCAGTGCAGGCCAACAGACCATTTATTTTCTTGATGGTTTATTGGTTTGTTAGAATAATTGGTGATCGGAAGTGGTGCAATGGAAAGTTCTGTGATGGGGAAGCGTATTGGTCAAATTGAACAGACAAATATATAGGATCAGAAACTACTACTTGGTGGGGGTTATCACTAAAGATTGTGGGAGCATCAAAGAAAGTTGCTGAGAGAAGACTGAAATGATAAATTCATCTGTGGAGAGAGAGGAAACATGAAGCCAGCGATAGATGGGGGAACTGTCAGGAAGGAGGAGACTGGGATGGTTTAAGATTAGATTGAAGATGCAGTGATGAGACACTTAAACACAGTGGGATTGAAAGCAGAATGGATGACTGAGAGGAGCTGGAGAAGAGTGATAATGAGCATGAACAAAACATTAAAGGGCCCTGATGGGGCAGACACTGAAGAGATGTTCCCCTTGTCCGAGAGACTAGATCCACGGGTCACAGTTTAAAGATACGGGTGTCCCACTTCAGATGAGAATGAGGAGGATTTTTCTTTCTGGGAGCAGTGTAAGTTAGGTTACTAAGTATTTTTATGGTTGATTTACATCAATTTTTTTATCGACCAGGGAATCAAAGGATATAGGGCAGTGCTTCCTTTATGTTTGCTCACTGTGACCCAATTTTGAGGCTTGAATGTTGTTGTGAACCCTTGGTGACTGGTGGGGGATGAGAGAGAGGCAGGTGGGAGAAGGAGAAGGCCTATGAGAGCAGGAATGGCCATTGTTCCCTGGAGCTAGAGACCCTAAAACTTCAGATTGCGACCCCACTTGGGTCCCCACCCACACTTTCGGAAGCCCCGAGATACAGAGTAGAACTGAGGAGGAGCTGAGGCCGCAGTCCAGTCACCCATGATGTTATTGAATGGTGGAGCAGGCTCAAGAGGCCGAATAGTCTACTCCCACTTTTGATTTGTACATTTGAAATGTAATCAGAACATAAGATCCTTGTTATAGAGTTGCGCAGACTGGTAAAAGACCCTTTGGACACGTGGACCAAATCTGTAACCATTCTATGATATTATCATAATAGACACTATAATCTTTGTCCTCAATTCGAGGACTTGTGACTGAAAATAATTTGCAATAAAAATTAACTTTGCCTATAATCCATATTATGCTCTTTATTCTAAATCACACAATGTCCCATAACTTAAGAGTTGTACAGCATGGAAACAGACACTTTAGTCCGATTCATCCATACCGACCAGACATCCTAAATTAATATAGTCCTGTTTGCCAGCATTTGGCCCAAATCCCCCTCAACCCTTCCTATTCATATACCCATCCAGATGCCTTTTAAATGTTATTGTACCAGCCTCCACCACTTCCTCTGGCAGTTCATTCCACACACACACACACCACCTTCTGTGTGAAAAAGATGCCCCTTAGGTCCCTTTTAAATCCTTACCCTCTCACCTTAAAGTTATGCTGTCTGGTTTTGGACTCCCCCACCCTGGAGAATAGACCTAGCCTATTCACTTTGTCCATGCCCCTCATAGATCATAGATGATTTTATAAACCTCAATAAGGTCACACCTCAGCCTCCAATGCTCCAGGGAAAATAGCCCCACCGTATTCAGCCTCTCCCTATAGCTCAAACCTTCCAGCCTCGGCAACAGCCCTGTAAATCTTTTCTGCACCCTTTCAAGTTTCACAACATCCTTCTTATAGCAGGGAGACCAGAATTGAACGTAGTATTCCATAAATGTCTGAATCAATGTCCCTGTAGAGCTGCAACATGACCTCCCAACTTCTATACTCAATGCACTGGCCAATAAAGGCGAGTGTACCAAATGCCTTCTTCACTATCCTATCTACCTGTGATTCCACTTCCAAGGAACTATGAACTTGCACTCCAAGGTCTTTGTTCAGCAACACTCCCAGCACCTTACTATTAAGTGTATAAGTCCTGCCCTGATTTGCCTTCCCAAAATGCAGCACCTCACATTTATCTAAATTAAACTCTGTCTGCTACTCCTTGGCCCATTGGCCCGTCTGATCAAGATCCGTTGAACTCAGGTCACCTTCTTCACTGTCCACTACACCTCCAATTTTGGTGTTATCTGCAAACTTACTAACCGTACCTCCTATGTTCACATCCAAATCATTTATATAAATAACAAAAAGCAGTGGACGCAGCACTGATTCTTGTGGCACAGCACTGGTCACAGAACTCCAGTCTGTAAAGCAACTGTCCACCACCACCCTCTTCTACCTTCGAGCCATTCTGTATCCAAATGGCTAGTTCTCCCATGTTATCTAACATTACCAGTCTACCAGGAGGAACCTCGTCAAACGCCTTACTGAAGTCCATATAGATCACGTCCACTCCTCTGCCCTCATTAATACTCGTTAGTTCTTTAAAAAACTCAATGAAGTTAGTGAGACATGATTTCCCACGCACGAAGCCATGTCTACTATCCCTAATCAGTCCTCCCCTTTCCAGATACATGTAAATCCTGTCCCTTGGGTTCCCCTCCAACAACCTGCCCCACCAATGTCAGGGTCACCGGTCTATAGTTCCCTGTTTTTTTCCTTACCACTTGTCTTAAGTAGTGGCACCACATTAGCCAACCTCCAGTCTTCTGGCACCTCACCCGTGGCTATCGATTATACAAATATCTCAGCAAGGGCCCAGTAATCACTTCTGTAGCTTCCCACAGAGTTTTAGGATACGTCTGATCAGGTCCTGGGGATTTATCCACCTTTACACATTTTAAGACATCCAGCACTACCTCCTCTGAAGTATGGACATTTTTCAAGATATCACTGTTTATTTCCCCATGTTCTCTATCTTCAATATCCTTACAATAAATACTGAAGCAAAATACTCATTTAGTATCTCCCCCGTCTCCTGTGGTTCCACACATAGGCAGCCTTGCTGATCTTTAAGGGGCCCTATTCTCTCCCTGGTTACCTTTTTGTCCTTAATGGATCTGTAGAATCCCTTTGGATTCTCTTCAACCCTATTTGCCAGAGCTATCTCATGTCCCTTTTTTGATCTCCTGATTTCCCTCTTAAGCATACACCTACTGCCTTTACACTCTTCAAGGGATTCACTTGATCTCTGCTGTCCATGCCTGATGTATGCTTCCTTCTTATTCTTGACCAAAACCACAATTTTTCTAGTCATTCAGCATTCCTACACCGACCAGCATTGCTCTTCACCCTGACAGGAACATGTTGTCTTTGGACTCTCGTTCTCTTATTTTTGAAGGCTTCCCATTTTCCAGCCATCCCTTTACCTGCAAATTCCATCCCCAATCAACTTTCGAAAGTTCTTGCCTAATGCCTTCAAAACTGGCCTTCCTCCGACTTAGAACTTGATCTTTTAGTTTTTGATCTTTGAACTTTTATCCAAGACTATTTTAAAACTAATCGAATTGTGGTCACTGGCCCCAAAGTGCTCCCCCTCTGACACCTCAGTCACGTGCCCTGCTTTATTTCCCAAGAGTAGGTCAGGTTTTGCTCCTTCTCTAATAGGTACATGTGCATACTGAATCAGAAAATTTTGTTGTACACACTTAACAAATTCGTCTCCATCCAAGCCCTTAACACTATGGCAGTCCCAGTCTATATTTGGAAAGTTAAAATCCCCGACCATAACCACCCTATTATTCTTACAGATAACTGAGATCTTACAAATTTGTTTTTGAATTTCCGGCTGACTATTGTGGGGTCCAAAGTACAATTCCAATAAGGTGATCATCCCTTTCTTATTTTTCAGTTCCACCTAAATAACTTCCCTGGATGTATACCCAGGAATATCCTCCTAAGTACGCTGTAATATTATCCCTACTTCCATTAAATTTTCAATTTGAGAGTGCTGACTATTCTTCATCACAATTCCTCATTCCCATATGGTAATGGAGTTATATTGAGTTTGGAAGTGTTAACTCTGATTGTCTCCTCACAGAAGCTGCAAGACCCTGCCGAGTTTCTCTAGTAATTTCTGTCTTTAACTCCCTGTATGACGTGTGAGTAGTTCGTGGAGAGAGTATAGCCTGGGGGATAGATGCCTATAGCCATGGCCAGGAGTTCCGATCGTCGTGTTGCCTGACTGATGCCAAGTTTAAGGACATCTCCTCAGGGCTCGAGACAAACTTGGGAGGGGAAGGATCCAGTTGTCATGGTCTAACACTATAGGTAAAACCAGAAATTACGACCTTTCAACAGAACTTGGGACCCAAATTAAACCACAGAACAACAAAGCTTATTTAATCTGTCTGGTTTGTTACCTGAGCTGAGGATTTGGGTGAAGGGAGGTTTAGAATCCAAGGAGAACAGTCGAGGCAACAGACTGTAATATGGCTAAAGGTGAGCAGAGTGGGACAGGAAGGGATGGAGAATTTCACGGTAATTATTCATAAAGGCTCTTTAGCTGAATGTACAAAGCATCCGCAGTAAAATGGATGAACTACCATAAATTTTGATACATGGTCGATATTTAATCACAGTGACAGTGACATGGTGACTGTAATGGACCAGATCAGACGCCCTCAAAATATATTAAGATACTCTAGACCTTAACTTTTTCCTATTATAAAGATAAGTGTGTGGTGCTGCATCCCAGATATAATCTGATTGGTCAAACTACCAGATTTGAAGTAAAACACATTTAGTTAACATCTAGTTAAAATACAACAAAAGAAAGAATGTAGCAAAGAACTGGCTTAGCTTTAACTCAATTGGAAAACTTAACAGAATAATAGATTATTTAGCTACTAAACAGTAACATAAAGACACCCTTGGCAAAAGGCAAGTTCAGTGAACAGATTGTCTCACATGCAACTCCAGCAGCCCAGGAGGCAAAAATCAAGAGAAAACTTGGAGACGGTAGCAGGGAGACATGTACTACAGCAACAGACCCAGCAACACCTGCTACTACAAAACTAAAAATTCTGGTCCTGTGAGAGCTTGTGAGAAATGTGGAGTTACAGGGATAGGGTAGCAGGGTGGGTCTGGGTGGGATCCTCCTCGGAGAGTTAGTGTGGACTCGATGGGCTGAAAGACTTGCTTTCACACTGTAGAGATTCTATGAAATCCCAGACGTAGTCTGATAAACCTCTGTTGCATTCCCTCCATGGCCATGTGATTACTGGTAGATACCAATAGATCTGTTCTATAACAATGGAGTGGCATGGTGGTGGGCAGAGGTCTCTCACTGTGTATATTGCTGATTGACAGTAAAGTCACCATGGTCCCAAAGACCATAGGGCTGCTCTCTCTTTAGAGAAAGACTACTGGTCACCACACCTCAGGCATGGGGCAAAGTTGAGAAGGTGAAACCTTCAGGGTTACCTCAGTCAGTGCGGAAATTGAACCCACACTACTGGCATTGCAAACCAGCCATCTAGCCAACCGATACTGTTTAGCATAGCCAATCCACCTAACCTGCACGTCTTTGGACTGTGGGAGGAAACCTACGCAGACACGGAAGGACATGAAAACACCAAACAGACAGCTGCCCAAGGGTGGAATCAAACACAGCTCCTTGGTGCTGTGAGGCAGCAATGCTAACCATTGAGCCACTGTATCACCCCAATGAAGAGAGATTGGATTGGTCAGGTCTATATTCGTGAGTCTGGAAGAATAGGGGTGAAGAGGAATCTCATAGAAACCTATAAAATTCTAACAGGACTTTTAGACAGGGTCAACACACAAAGGATGTTCTCGATGCCCAGGGAGCCTGAACCAGGGGTCACAGCCTAAGGATACAGAATAGGCCATATACAACTGAGGTGAGGAGAAATTTCATCACTCAGGACGTGGTCAGCCTGTGGAATTTTCTGCCACAGAAAGTGGGTAAGGCAAAAGTATTGAATGTTTTCAAGAAGGAGTCAGATATAGTTCTTACGGATCAAAGGATGGATTATCAGCTTTGTTCATAATGAACGGCAGAGCAGGCTGCAAATTCTCTTCTTGTGAAGACAATGTTATGTAAGGCACTCAGCACTCAGAGTTAAACGATGTCAAGATATGAGCTCAGTCCATTAGCACTCCTTTTTATTTCTCAGGATATGGGAGTCGCTGGCTGGATCATCCTGTAGTGCCTTGAGAAAATGGGAGTGAGCTGCCTTCTTGAATCACTGCAATCCATATCAGGTATCAAGGGCTGTTCCTGGAAGGTGCTAACCAGTTTCTAAGTGCTGCGCAGCAAAACAGTAATGTGTACTTGCTTTTAAATCCAAACTAAGTTCATATGAGAGACTATCGCGTAATTCAGATGTAGCTAGTTATTGTGTACTTGGTAATAAACCGATTCTGCTCTATCAGACGAAGCCTCACTTCAAGTGAATTTGTACCTCTTTCGCCATTTGGTAGCATTAACCAGTGTTGATAAGGATGATTGGTAGCAGTGCACTACCCCGAAGTATCACAGACAGTTCCGGTGGATGCAGCCACAACAAAGAACAGGCATTTGCCACGGAGTACATTGGACACCAGGGCCTCACGGAGCACCATCAAATTTTTATGGCAGAGACCTCAGGACAAGTGGGGAAGGGAGATGCAGAGGAAAATACCCTGTGTATGTTGGGGAGTAGTATAACAGCCTTGTGTGTGTACTTCAGGCCTGTGGTCCCATCACCGCAACAAAGCCATTCAGGGACAGTAGGAACTGCTGATGTTGGAGAATCTGAGATAACAAGGTGTAGAGCTGGATGAAGACAGCAGGCCAAGCAGCATCACAGGAGCAGGAAGGCTGACGTTTCGGGCCTAGACCCTTCTTCAGAAATGGGGGAGGGGAAGGAGATTCTGAAATAAATAGGGAGAGAGGGGGAGGCGGGTAGAAGATGGATAGAGGAGAAGATAGGTGGAGAGCAGACAGACAGGTCAAAGAAGCGGGGTTGGAGCCAGTAAATCTGAGTGTAGGTGGGGAGTTAGGGAGGGGATAGGTCGGTCCAGGGAGGACGGACAGGTCAAGGAGGCGGGATGAGGCTAGTGGGTCGGAGATAGGGGTGGGGCTTGAGGTGGGAGGAGTGGATAGGTGGGAGGAAGGACGGACAGGTTAGGGAGACGGGGATAGGCTGGGCTGGTTTTGGGATTTGGTCAGGGGAGGGGAGATTTTGAAGCTTGTGAAGTCCACATTGATACAAATGGGCTGCAGGGTTCTCAAGCGAAATATGAGTTGCTGTTCCTGCAACTTCGGGTGGCATCGTTGTGGCACTGCAGGAGGCCCAGGATGGACATGTCGTCCAAGGAGTGAGAGGGGGAGTTGAAATGGTTTGCGACTGGGAGGTGCAGTTGTTTGTAGCGAACCGAGTGTAGGTGTTCCACAAAGCGGTCCCCACGCCTCCGCTTGGTTTCCCCGATGTAGAGGAGGCCACAATGGGAACAGCGGATACAGTATACCACATTAGCAGATGTGCAGGTGAACATTTGTTTGATGTGGAAGGTCTTCTTAGGGCCTGCGATGGGGTTGAGATGGGAGGTGTAGGGGCAGGTGTAGCACTTCCTGCGGTTGCAGGGAAAAGTGCCAGGGGTGGTGGGGAGTGTGGAGCGGACAAGGGAGTCACGGAGAGAGTGGTCCATTCGGAAGGCAGATAAGGGTGGGGAGGGAAAAATGTCTTTGGTAGTGGGGTCAGATTGCAGATGGCAGAAGTGTCGAAGGATGATGCATTGGATCCGGAGGTTGGTGGGGTGGTACGTGAGGACGAGGGGGATTCTGTTTTGGTTGTTATTGAGGGGAGGGGGTGTGAGGGATGAGTTGCAGGAAATGCGAGAGACACGGTAAAGGGTGTTTTCGACCACTGTGGAGGGGAAGTTGCGGTCCTTGAAAAATGAGGACATCTGGAATGTCCGGGAGTGGAATGCCTCATCTCGGGAGCAGATGCGGTGGAGGCAAAGGAATTGGGAATAGGGGATGGCCTTTTAGCAGGAAGGTGGAGAGGAGGTGTATTCTAGGTAGCTGTGGGAGTCAGTAGGCTTGAAATGGATATCAGTTTCCAGGTGGTTGCCACAGATGGAAACAGAGAGGTCCAGGAAGGAGAGAGAGGTATTGGAGATGGTCCAGGTGAACTTAAGGTTGGAGTGGAAGGTGTTAGTGAAGCGGATGAACTGTTCGGGCTCCTCGTGGGAGCACAAGGCGGTGCCGATACAGTCATCGATGTAACGGAGGAAGAGGTGGGGCATAGGGTCAGTGAAGCTTCAGTAGAGGGATTGTTCCACGTATCCTACAAAGAGGCAGGCATAGCTTGGGCCCATGCGGGTACCCATGGCTACCCCCTT